GTGTTCCAGTATTTAACCACATATTTAGTTACAAAATTCTTCCTAATATCCCATCTAAATTTTCCTTGTTGCAATTTAAGCTCATTGCTTCTTGTCCTCTCTCCTCTGGGCAGAGAGAAGAGTTGATCATCATCCTCTGCAACAATCCACTTTATATTTAAGGACAATTATCCAGTTCTCCCCACAGAATCCGAAAGCATCTAGTCAGGCTTAACTCACTTTAGTTTCAGTGAGAGTTTAGCTTACGTTAGAACTCAGAGGAGACAGCAAGATTTGGTCCAAATAGGGCACATCTACACATGCAGTAACTCTGGGGTATATTGTTCTGGAGATTATTGCTCCTGGGTGCTCCGAGTGTGTACCTGTGACCGCAGCACATTGAACCAGGATGCAGCTGCCCCAGCTGGCAGGGGGCCCCAGGGGTCAGCCTGCCAGTCTGCGGCTGTTCCCTTGTGGTTCACTGTGCTGTGAAGGGGCTGGCTAGGTGTGAGGATACCCCAGTGTGGGGCTAACCAACAGGCAGCCCCCGCACTAAAGTACCCTCATGCCCTACCCATCTACGCATGCAGTGCTGCACAGTAGAACACTCCACAGAAGGATAGTACTTGTATTTGTAACTATTATTCTGCTGTAGAATTAATGTTGACTAGGGGTGTGCGAAATGGGCTGTGTTCAATTTGGATTCGGATTCAGACCGAATTGGGGACAGTGATTCGATTACTTGATTCAGATCACTGTCCTGATTCAATTTGGCTGAATCCAAATCTGCAGATTTGATGCTGATTTGGAAAAATCAGCGATTTGGCCATAGACACAGCTTTAAATGTTTTTTCTACATACCTTAAGGTACCAGGTGTGGCTCATGAATGTTGCAATGGTGAGGCAGATGGAGCATCCCACAGGAGCGTGGGGGCCTCCCCCAACATGCTCGGTGGCAGACCTGGAAGTGGACCAGAAAACCTTCTGGGTCCACTTCCAGGTCCACTGCCGAGCATGCAGGGGACCCATCCCCCCGGCTCGGTGATCGGCCACGGGAGGACCCTGGGTGCCCCCCCAGACCCAGGAGGCACCAGTTACCAAGCCGGGGGGCAGAGGGAAGGTCCTCTGCAGGAGACCAGGAAGTGGACCAGAAGTGCTTCTGGTCCATTTCCAGGTCCACCACCAAGCGCACTGGGGACCTCCCCCATGCTCTTGTGGGACCCTCCATCCACCCCACCATCTCAGTGTTCACAAACCACCTGGTACCTTGAGGTATGTAGAAAAAACATTTAAAGCTGTGTCTATGTCCGAATCATTGAATCTTCAAATCGATTTGGAGGGTTCCAATTCGATTCAAAGAAATTAAAGGGTCTTCTTATTCGATTCAGATCAGGAGATACGGCCACCAAATCTCCACTGAATCTAATCAGCAACCGAAGCTTTGCACAGCTCTTATGTTTACTCCAACCTAATAGGGATGCACATGTAGATATGCAACCTTTCCCATGCCACTGATTAGTCTACTCTGTAGTAAATATTGCGTGTAGATGCACCCACAGTGTATTACTCATAACCTTCACAGCTTCCATTATTCAAGAGCACTGGAAATTGGTGTCATCTCTTTACTGCATCCCTTTATGCTTATGAGGACTGACCAAGATTTTTTTAAAGGTGATGAGTGATTTGAATACTTCCGTTTGTTAAGCTCCTTCTACACATTACACTTAGGCTAAGTACAGACAGTCAAAAAAGCCTGAAGCTGAATCAGATCAATCTTCACAGGTTAATCTAAACTGTGTAGATTGAACTAATAAGCAAGTGAACAGACATTCACTTTTGATTCTGGAAATGCAGCTACATGGCTGCAGTGGCCCAAGCCAGCAGCTGGGGGTTACTAGAACATGCCTTCTTGCTTAGCTGGAGCAACAAGCTTGGGCCAAGGCTAGCCCGCCCACTCTGCAAGGAGGGGTTTGCTGGGGAAGTGCAAAGCATCCTGGGATGCTGGGGGACTGTGAGTTAACTTGAATCTGAAGGGAATCTGGGATAGAATTTCAATAAACCGATTTAACCTAAATCAGTTAAGTCTGATATCCATCCAGTTTTATCTTAGATTGGTTTTGGCCATTTTGAAAGTGGTTTATGGGCACTGAACTTCTGTTGTGTTACAGATTTGAACTGGTTTCCAATCACTTATACTGGTATACTTTCAATACTGGTACTGGTATACTTTCTGTCCCTGGCCTTAAAAAGTGATTAACCAGGTAATCACGCCTTAAGTTGTGACCCAGCTACACATTCAGCCAATTAATGGCATGATAAAACAAGCAATAAGCTATGAAGTTATTCCACAAAAAGTGTGGAAGAACTTCATCGCTTGTTCTAATCACGCCATTAATTGACCATTTGGCAAGGTACTCCCCTGTGACTAGAAGCCCCACCCATCAACTGAGGGGCTCCTGGCCAAAGTGGTGTACCACCCACTGCTAGCTCTGCAGCTCATAAGGCTTGCAGTGGTGGCAGTATCTTTTGCTGTGGGGGCAGTAGGAAGAATGCTTCTGCTGCTGCAAGCCCTGCACCTCACAAGGCTAGGTGGGGACTGTTTTACTCACTGTCATTGCTGTGAGCCCTGTAGCAATGTCAGCTGTGGGGTTCACTGTGGGGCTACTGCAAGCCCAACTGAGTCCCATTAGCTGTGGGGCTTGCAGCCATGGGAGCCAGTGCAGGTGGTGCCCAGGATCATGATCCTAGGCTTCCCCAGCACTGGCGATAAAAAGTGGAATGAGATCAAATGCATGATCCCTCAGTTGTGCTTCCTGCCATGTATGTGTGGTACAGCAGGAGGCACACTTGCGTGGATCATGCATTAGATCCCATTGCACCTTTACCTCCATGTGTAGAGGGGACCTTAGCATTCAAATATGCTACACCAGAAGGGGCCTGAATTTCAGAATGCCCTGAGCACCACCCTCTGAAATCAGGCATAGTCCTCTGTTAAATGTTAAAGGGAAGTCTTGGACGTCCCTAGAAGTCGTAAGCTAAAATTACGCCTCCAAGTCAAAAAAGAGTTTTGTTAATTTTGCCATCAGTGATGGTATTCACTCCACTCTGGGATGCTGGTAACTTACCCCTGCCAGGGAAAGGATCTCACTGCAGCTCAAAAAAAAAAAAATTCAAATATCAGTTCTTACTACCTGACTTAAGTTAAACTAGTGCAACATATTGATATGTCAATAGTATGTTGCCAAGCACTTGAAGCCTAAGCACAATAAGCCTTAGATCCCCAAGTGCTCACATAATAAATATACCTAAGGTATACATTTAAAGAGTAATAGTTAAACTGGTGCAAATGATTGTATGACTACATTTACTTCAGTCTTAGGATGGCTGAGTATAGTTTAAATTAAGCTCTCTTATAGTGAGATAAGATTATCCACGGTGTTGTTTGTCCCAGTTTAAAAGCCAATTAAAATAAATTTCAATGGCATAACTTTCCCAGGTAAATCAGGTTTCTTTTGAAAATGGTACTTGCATACTTTTGAAAATTTTACTGTACATGTCTTAAGCTGTTGCATCTCATTTTCAAGAGACTTAAGGTCAGATTTTTATGTTATTTAGGCACCATGAATTTAGGTGTCAGAGAGTTAGGTACCTGCATGATTTGGAAAATCCAACAGTTGTACACTTAAGAGAGTAAAGCTGACTGATTTTCTGTGAGATGTGGGCTTCTATGCACTTAAGTCATTTCTGACAAATGAGATTTAGGCTGATAAATCATTTTGCTCCTTCAAAAAGTTACCTCATGCCTTTTTTGAAATATTTCAACTGTCACAATAGGTGAAACATTATAATACTCCTTCATGACATCAGCAGAATTCAGATACTCCTTTCAGTTTCTGTGCTTATAGTTACCTCAGTATTACGATGGTGAAGAGCTAATTTCAGTATTTTGCTTTAGGTGTCTGTGCCATATTTTATTTAATTTTATATATAAAACATATATACACACACACTATTATATTGTTTACACTGTTCACCCTCAACATGAATCATATTACATGAGCATCATGATGGTTTTTATGCATCACAGTACTTCCAAGTACTTCTCGCATAATAATATAGTATGTCACATTATATAAGTGTTAGTATTATACATTTCTGTTCCACACAGGCAATTCTCATACAGGTGCTGCTATAGCAGAAATTTCTTTCAATAGTGACAATCAAAATTTTCATGCCAAACAGTAATGTTATCATAGCAGGGAATAAGTAGGAGGCACTTCAAAGACTCTCCATATTTAAAGTCCATAGGAGGTATAGGAGGTGGGCATATAACTCCCCTTTATGCCTTTGGAAATTTCTCCCTATCTTAAGGAAAGATCAGATTCTTCCCTTCATGCAAGGATGTGCCCAACTCTGTCTTTTCCTTCCTGGTTCTTTGCCACTTGTGGGACAGCATGATACCTATAAAAGCCATGATGTCCAGTGGTTCTTAAACCAGATATTGTTCCTGAACCCCTTTGTGGGAGTGACACAAAGAGGATGGAGAAGCAACATAAGTTACTGCAGGTTGCTTTTAGTTGTATTCCATGTGTTTGGGATCATTCCAGTGCTGAATCTAGCTTTCTTGGTTCTCCAGATCTCAATAGCTGGAATCTTACGGAGTCTTTGCAAGGCAGGAAGCTTCTTAATATAATAAATGATTTTCCATTATAATTGTTTTCCATTTGGGTTCTGGAAGACATTATAACACTAAATAATTAAGCCTTTCTATACCCCTGTACAAGAGAGTAAAGATTACTGAACCGTTTTATAAGGAAAACGGATACAAAATGTCTGAGCTAGGAGTGCTCTCAGGAGTCCAAGTCACTTAATGCTCATCTCGGCATTATTTGAATTACTGATTACAAGGGAGTGTTCCTCCCAAAGCATCTCCTGGCTCTGAAATACTTTGATGCTTTTAATTTTTCTTAATATTTCCTGATTTATAAACAGCTATTCATTATTATTTCCTTCTTTTCAAGGATCACAGCTAGCCATGGTCCCTAAGTATTCCATGATGGGCCCTTTCAGAGGACACATGTGCATCAAAAGTAGTCGTAAGTATTGAAAAGAAAAATGAAGTGAATGTCAGGGATATTGGTTGTAGCCATATTGGTCTAAAGCCAAAGGCAGACAAAAATCTGGGGACAGAAGTGATATCTTTTGTTAGACCAACTAAACAATTGCAAAAAAAATTATTTGCAAGCTTTTGGGCACACACACCCTTCTTCAGGCAAAGGAGAATTCAAAGATTGTAAAATTTTTCCCAGGTAGAAAAGAAACTTCATCTTGCACAGGGAAAGTCAGAGATGGTAGGAAAAGTCTGTTTGTAAAAACGTAAATGAATGTCACATTCTGCCATTCAGCCAACAACCTAAATATTAGTGAGACGTATATTAAATGCATTTTTATGAGATCTGCTTTGTTGTTAAAAGCATATATTTTCCCTACCCCATACCCTTTCCCCAGTTCAGCAGAGGAACAGTCCTGCAGTCCTTATTTACAGACTAATAAGTCTCCTTAGTTTAATCTCATCTTCTGTTCACAGGCCAGCTGCCCTTTACTGTCATAATGGTCATAAACTCCTCCAAGACCATTTTAGGCTGGACATAAGGAAAAACTTATTTACTGTCGAAGTGCCCAAGGCCTGGAATAGACTCCCTCCAGAGGTGGTGCAAGCATCTGCTCTGGAATCTTTTAAGAAACATTTGGACACTTATCTTGCTGGGATCCTTTGACCCCAGCTGACTTCCTGCTCCTGGGGCAGGGGGCTGGACTCAATGATCTTCTGAGGTCCCTTCCAGCCCTAATGTTTATGAAATCTGAGGCAAAGGGCTTCATATTCCATTACTGCTCCCTCGATTAATCTAGTAACATTTTAATTCCTTGTTTTGGAAGTACCTTGGGACTGGCTGGTCTGGGTAGAAGTGTCCATCCAAAAAGGAGCATTCAAAGACAACTAAAACTTGGGCAGTTTTAGAACTTCTTTCCATTAGAAAGATCTGCTATTTTAACTGCACTGCTGTAATGAAACTAGCAAAACATCCCTCTTTCACCTACATGTATATGGGGTTAAAAATGATTACCTTACTATAGCATAATTTGGTCTGGAATTGGAATAAGCCATATTAGTTTGAGATGAGTTTGTACCTGTGTAATGGCATCCATGCAAAGGCTTTTACTGATACAACAAGTTCAATTAAAAAAACTCATACACCTAATTGAAAGTTTTCCCACCAAAATTTTTAAGTATATAGCAAGCCTCACTGATTGAACAGAATGTAATCTTAGGCCTCAAAAAGGCATTCGTTTCTAGCAGTGGAAATTCCTGAAAAAATTGCAGAAATCTAACCAGGAAAGGGAGCAATGTAGGTATTCAGCCTACACCTACCTCCTCTCCCCTGCTCTTTGTGCCTTCCCCAGACCTGTCTGTAAGAGGACTGGAGCAGCAGTGGAAACCACTATCGCATCTCCACACTGCAGCCCTGGTCTGGGGAGTGGGTGGGGCAAGGAGCACATCCAACATCAGTCCAGGAGGGAAATGGAGCCAAGCATCTTACCTGCTCCTGAAATGGGGAATGGTCAGGGGAATGGGTAAGGTGCTCTGACCCACTGCTTCATTACCCTCCTGGACCAGACCAGGAAGGGAGCACACAAGCATTCCTTCTTGTGATAGTTTCTCTTGCAAGGGAGGTCTTCCAGGTTAACACCTGGAATATCTTTCTCCTAGAAGATGCGTATTTCCCATTGGAATAGTTAAGTGAATGCCCGTAGTTTCTACCACAGGAGTGGCAACTCTCCCAATAGAAACATAATACCTGTATGTGGCCTCAGTCTTTTGGTATAGTACAATAACTAAGCAATGGAAGTAATTGCACTGTAAGCAGCATTTCTTTCTGTCGCAGGCACTGAAGTGCCTGCTCCTAAAGAAGGACAGGTGTTGGTTGCTGGGGCAACCACAAGGGTCAGCTGACCAAGAGGGGGCAGGGCCTGGCCTATATAAACAGCCCAGGCTGAGGTCACAGGCAGTTCCCCTCTGGCAGTGGAGGAAGGTGGAGCTCCGTGGCAGCAGCAAGAGTTGAGAAGCCTGATGAGCTTATGGGCAAGGATACCAGGTAGAGGAACCCCTGGCAGGGACAGAAACGATGATTAGCCAGGAGGCTTATTTTGTGTTGCAGCCGGTTGGCTTATGGTTTTGCTTTGTGGTTACACCGGAGGACCGGGTGAGGCTGTAGGGGTTGGAGGAGGCCTCATGGGAGCTCCCCAGTAGTGGGGGGGGGG